TGGTCTAGAGGAATGGAGTCCCTTATTTCTGAGTTGGCCTCGGTTGAATCCTCGGCTCCCTGATTCGGCCCCGAAGGACGATGAGCACGTTTGGTTGGGTACACTTTTTGACATGGCTAGAAGCCGATCTCAGTGGCGTTTGTTTTGTGAGTTTCTTTGTTTCTCCCCATCCAACCACGATCTCATTTATGGCTCTTATTATGACTTTTGCAGCACAAAAGTCGGCTTATGCCTCGCCGGAACCATGTCCACCCGTCGCAACGAGACTGGACCTTAACGTGGTGCGACGGTTTGCGTACCTCATTGACCCATTGAGCTATACTGGGTGATGCCTCCGAGCATCTTGAGAGCTACTCCTACGAGGTTGGCCAATGGTGGGAAGGCAGACAAACTCAGTCTCCTGGTCCTCCAGGTTGAGGGTTTGAAATTTGATGACGTCCATTTCTGTAAAACTAAATCATTGCCACCTCTCCGCTGCCTTGCGGACAGGCATTTGAGCCAAAGGCTTTAGATGAGGACCCTAATCGTCCTCCTGTCTATGTCTACGCGCCCTGGCAGTATCTCAGCCCACATACAACCATGACATCTTCTTCAAACATAAACTTCATCCTGCATCGGCCGTCGCGCAGATTATCAAGGGTCGCCTTATCTGCTACATACAGCAGGGCGGATAAGCGAAAACATGCTACTGCTAGGGCTTCCTTTCTTTCTTCTTCACCTGTTTCTCTTACTCCCATCCTGACCCCCATTACTAACCTTCCTTCTATAATTCCCAACTTAATTGACAGCAAACGAAGTGCCACTGGAGTAGTACCATCTGTAGCCACCATCCCACAGCACCTATCGGACGCCTATCGGCAAAAATCCCTTGTAAGGTCACGCTATCACTTTTACATGGCGACATTCAACGTTCGCACTCTAAGACAAAAAGGTTAACAAGCTGCACTCGCACGCACCTTGGACACACTGGGTATTGATGTGTGTTGTGTGCGAAACTAGGATCAATGACCCTAACGGGGTTATTGAATTGACTGCACCCGGCTTACCCTCTCGTTATTGGTTGCACGCATCCGGAGACGCCGATGCAGCACTCACGGGTCAAGCTGGTGTAGGTATCATTCTAACCTCCAAGGCTGAGCCGTCGTTGCTTGATTGGATTCCAGTGAACAGCAGTTTATGTGCAGCCCGGTTGACGACATCAGCTAAGGTAGATTCACGAAGTAATACAAAACGCTGTTTGTTTGTGATTTCCGCTTATGCTCCCACCGACTGCAGTTCTACTACTGTCAAGGACACATTCTATCACGAACTAAACGTGCTACTACGCAGTGCTACTAGTTCAGATATTCTAGTGCTTGCAGAGGATATGAACGCACAAGTATGGCGTCTGAGCTCTTCAGAAGCTCAGCTGGGTGGCAAGTATGGACTTAACGCCGAACGGACTGACAACGGTGAGCGACTGCTGCAACTGTGTGCGGAGCACCAGTTGTTTCTTAGTAGCACTGCTTTTAGACAGTGGGCGCCGAAGTGCCACATGGCGTCCTCCTGTAGCTGGCCAGCAACGGACCCAAATTGACCACAAAGCCATATGTTACCGATGGCGTGGTTCCATTCTGGATTGCCGCTCCTACTGGATTACCTGTGTCGACTCTGATCATGCCTTGGTACGCTGTCGTTTCTCCATGAACTTTACCGGAAGGCGCACCAAGAGTCTCCTCTGATTGGCGACTGAGAAATTGTCTCAGCCCTCGATCAGGCAAGCCTATCAAGACGCACTGCGTACGGAAATTTCGCTGCCTTGTCCTAATGACACTGAACTTCAGTGGAATAGGATGCCGGCCGCCAAGCATGACGTAGAAGCATCTGCTTGTGGCAATATCAATCGTCACCGCACCAGTCACTGGATATCCGAGAGGTCCGTGAACCTGTTGGAATCTAGAAGACACCTCCCGGCTGGTTCTGAACCCAATGTGACCAGACGGGCTATTAGGCGTGAACTAAAGCGGAGCCTACGTGCTGACAAGGAAGCCTGGTGGACCAGTCGGGCTCAAGGAATGGAGGAGGCAGGAGCAGTAGGCAATTGCCGCAAGCTCTTCCAGCTAATCTGCACCACTGGTCCGAGAAAACCAGGCGTCAGTGGGACAATCAGAGACAGCGTGGGTGCGCTGATACACAATGAGGAGCGCCGTATGGCTCGTTGGGCTGAACACTTTGAAGATCAGTTCAGCTGGACCCCTGCTCCCGGACCTCTTTTTACTCAGGTGATGCAGGACGTGCCATGGACGGTTAGTTTAGAGCCTCCTTCGGAGGCCGAGGTCCGAAACGCGATCACAGCCCTCAATCGTTTTCGTGCCGCTGGCCCGGATTCCCTCCCACCTGCACTATTTAAGGATGGAGGTGAGGTCCTCTGCAAAGCACTGACCTCCCTATTCGAACGCATCTAGAAGTGTCCCGGCTAATTGGAGCGAATCGATTACAGTGGCAATATACAAGAAGGGCGGTCGCACAGACTGTTCTAACCACAGGGGTATTAGCCTAACGTCAGTTGTGACAAAATTGATGGCCCCGATTATCGTTCGTCGTCTCACTGCAGAACGGGAATCTCGGATTAGGGAAGAGCAGGCCGGTTTCCACCCAGGACATGGCTGTATAGACTGTATTCACTATGCGGTAGGTGTTAGAGAAGCACCACGCATACCGCAGACTGATAATAGTTGTGTTCCTCGATTTCAAGAGTGCGTTCGATTCAGTCGATCGATCGATTCTGTTCGAAATACTTGCGCGAAAAGGTGTTCCCACGAATTACGTGAACATCCGTCGTGCTCCATACTCGAACACTACAGGCCGCGTCAGTGTCTACGGTGTCCTATCGGAGAGCTTTCCAACCACAAGTGGCGCTTGTCAGGGTTGTCCGATTTCCCCATTTTTGTTCAATTTCGTCATGGATTCTATCATGGAGTGTTCCCTTGCGGAATCTCACGATCTAGGCGTTGAAGTGTTGCCTGGTGAAAGATTAGTTGATCTCGATTATGCGGACGATATCGTTTTGCTTTTCGACCATGTTGCGACGGCACAATCAACACTGAATAGCTTGTCTAGAGTGGTCCCATTATTTGGTATGCACTTCGCACCTTCAAATGTTGCTGCAGAAAACCACCAGCCACTTTATGACCCCTTGACGCTTGCTAACGAGGAACTCGAGGTGGTTGATCAATTCACTTATCTTGGCAGCTGTATCAGCAACGATGGGCGCATAGAAGCTGACGTCAGCTCACGCATTGCGAAGGCCAGAGCTGCCTTCTTGAACCTGCGACATCTTTGGCGACAGAAAGGAATTTCCCTCCGTCTAGAAGGCCGTGTAAACAAGGCCACAGTGAGGGCCGTTCTTCGCTATGGTAGTGAAACTTGGCCCCTTCGGTCTGAAGATCTGAGGCGTCTACAAGTCTTTGATCATCGTTGTATTGGAAGCATTACTGGTGTCGGATGGCACCAGCGTGTCCGCAAAGATGATGTGCGTAGGCGAGTACTAGGTGGTGATGATCATGCTAGCTCCCTAGAACAACAGATAGCACTGAATAAGTTGCGTTGGCTCGGGCACGTGCTACGCATGCCTGGTCACCGCTTACCCAGGAGGGCCTTGTTCAGTCTACCAGGTGTAGGATGGCGCAAGGCTCAAGGTGGACAGAAGTTGACTTGGCAGCGTGAAATGAAGTCACTGACGACCAAACTGGGTGCGGTTGGTCCGTCTCGCCTTCCGGGTTGGAGTCCACGTGACTCACCTTGTGCTTGGCTCGAGACTTTACAGGACATGGCTCGCAACCGACACCAGTGGCGCGTCTGCTGCCGTCTCCTAATCGGATTGTTTGTTTAAAGTGTGTTTGGTGCTGAGTTATCTGCGGGGTAATGGCTGATTATGACGCGTGGCAGTGAAAGCCGCAAGGAAGCTGTCTCGCCGATGCCGCCTTATCTTTGCACGAGAGCCAGCTGTTTGTGACGGAATGTTGTCTACACAAGGTGTAGGCGCCTTGACCCTGAATGTTTGCTTAGGGCATTAAGGTTTTCAGATAAGTCCCCCTTCTCTCCTTCTTATTCTTTATTTCATAGGTCCTCATGGTTGTATGGCAGCGAAGCATCAGTTCAAATGGCTGATGTACTGCTGTTGATGATGATGATGATGATGATGATGGTGATGATGATGATGGCTCGGTTAGCATGCCTATGTTGCGTCTTCCTTTCTTTTGTATTGCAGCACAAAAGCTGAGGTGTTTCCCAACTCTAGCTAACGTGTATGATGATAACTCTTTCCCGGTCTGGTTGCAAACAATTTCCTTCATTAATCCTTGTCCGTCGAACGACGTACTTGTGGACAGATGGATTTATGCTATCTCTTCCCGTGCATTGAGTATCTGCTAGGATTTCACATACCGATTGCTTTATATTACTGCTTGTGGTATACGTCTCCTCGAGGCACTCTCCGCTATCAAATCACAACGATTCACTATGTGTCAGCTATACGCCGTAACTGCGCTTCGCTGCCATGCCACCACCACCAGTCGCACGTGAGCTGTATACCGCGGGGACGCCCACCCCTTCACGGATTCGAACCCGCACCGCAAGATTAGGAGAATAGCTCGTTACCTCTAGGCTACGGGGCAACACAACGTTTCAGTGTCCTGTTTATTTGTCTGTACACCTGATCTTACTACATTGGCTTTGATTGTTTCTGGGTGCTTCATCACTCGTTTCCCAAATTTTCCTGCACGTGGTATCTCAGGCACTATATTTCATGCGTTGAAATTGCACCCTCCATTGGATGTTGCTCTTCGTGCTTTGAACGTGCTGCAGTCAGAGTAGCTAACATTGTTGGCTTTTGTTGCACGTACCTACTGCTATTATCTTGCTCCAGTTAGCAAGTCGACGCTTCCCTTCTTGTACGAGTAATGCTCGGTGGTAGAACTCAGCTTGGTTAATCGTGGACTATTGCTTCTTTACATTCATAGAAGAGGTTTGGATGAGTTTGCCACATGCAATTCAGCGGAATGCGACTGGTTTCAATGGTGCCTGGCTTTCTATTCGACGCGAAGAAGTGGATTGTCACATTCTCCCTTCATCAGCCAGGTCTTTTATTAAACCTGGAGAGAGCTTGCTGGCTTGGAAAACTTGGTGGAACGAATTAGTCGAAGGAATCAAGTCGAATAGACTGAGTCCAATTACTGTGAGAAACGAAATTCGGGCTCGATTGCAGGTAATCCATTTACCTCTCTTAGTGTTCTGAGCGTTATAAATGTCCGTTCTCTTCTGACCCCAAGCCCGAACTTGCTTACTTTGTCCGGCTTATGTGCTTTAGTGCACTCCCGCGAGAAGAATGTGTAACATCCATATTTTTTCATTTGCTGATGGTGGGTGTACATTTAAGCTTTATTCCAGGAAATCTTTCGTCCGGAATGCACAATTGAGCTACTTCCAGTTGAGTCGAAGGTCCTTACACTCACATCTGACGCATTTCTTCCAACAGGTTCGCTCTCATGCTTATTTTTCCCTACGTGTGCCTGTGATTCTTTTTTATCACGCACTTATCTGCGTCTGGTTGTGCTTGCTACGAATCTTGACAAGGTGCCTACCTGTCGAAAATCTCCACCTCGATTACTTGCTCTAAAAACTCATTCTTCGTTGTTCAGAGACGGGTTACCCAGTTTTCGTGACGGTAGTGGGCCCAAATAGTGATCCCTTCGAGTATGCAACGGACTACAGCCCAACCTTTGCCGTGTACTTCTGGTTGACATGTTTCCCTAATTTCATAAGGACGATGTGCAAGGAGTGTGGGTCGGCTCCGACTCACTACTGGCTCTCATCCATATGTCTCCCAGTCTTATTCCTTTTGCGTTCACATTGGATATTTATGTGGACGGAGCTGTGGGTGATGCAGCTCTAAGCCACTCATGGTCCCTCTGTAGATGCAGACATTCTGTGGCTGGTCGCAGTCGCAATGACGGAAACGGATGCCACCAATTAGATGTGTGTGTGCCCATATCGAAACTGCTAACATCTAACGGCAAGTTTCGATTAGTTCTCGATTATTAATACTGAATCCAGCTGATGCTTTCAGTTACCATACAAAATTTCATCATCTCGATTTTTTTCTCACGTTTGTTCACCTTTTCTTAATCTATGTTATCAGCATCCTATCTGCTCTGATATTTTTAGGTAATCCAATAGGAAGTAACTTTTCAACTTTACTTACTCATTTGAATCACTTCACATCATTGACTGCGAGCGCAATCTCACAAGGACTTTATGACCCAGATGGACTTGCGGCGCACCACGTCTCTTTTCGATGGAAACAGTTCGCCTACCAGCTAGCTATCCATTGTATCAAAGAACGGTCGCCATCCGCTGCAGAGATGTTCAACTTTGCTCTTCACTATCTTGGAATTGTGGAAACGTCAAATCTGGATACTTGGCACTGCTTCATTACGTATTACGTACGTTTGTTTGCTTGACTGAGTTTGTCTGTGGTTTTGGTTGCTTTTCGGCCACCTCGCTATTTAGTGAGCCGACATCCCTGTACCTCGGATCACATGCACCCAGTTTTCACGCTTTGAGCTCGTACCCTTCAACAAATGCTATTCTTAATGCTTCGAGTACGCTGAACGCAGTGGCTCCCCTGCTAGCACGAGTGTCCCCCTAGTGACCGGTTTCAATCTGTTGACCTTCTGAACTAGCTACGACGAAAAAAACTTCGGATGGAAATCGAACAGTCAAAAATGATTGTCAGTACTCACCCATGCTGTTTTCCATCGATCCCAAATTCTCATTCCTATTGCTTGCTGCATCTTAGTGATTGTTCAGGCAGCATTTAATATGGCAAACAACTAAGAAACCTTTATACCGTGCCCCAAAACACCATTTTTGAGGTAGGAAACATGTGTTGAGCTGGAGCTACTCGGATCCTTATCATTATACACGTTAGCTGCGGGTGGAAAACACCTCAACTATTGTGCCGCAATACAAGAGAACAGAAGATACGTGAAGCACGCCGGCTGAGTCACCGGTAACGGACTGACATCGTTCCGAAGAGCTAGCAGTCGGCTATTGTGTCACAAAAATGGAGTTATATTTCGCTTACTAACTGAGATCGTGTTTGAAGTGGGAGGCAAAGCAGGAGGGGAGGGACAAAGAAACTCACAACACAAACCCCACTGAATTCGACTCCTAGCCTGGTCACCAAGTGTATCCAGCCAAACGTTTTCATCGTCCTTCTGTCCCCAACCAGGAGTCCGAGAGGTTCCAACCGAGGCCAACTTCGAAGTGAGGGCCTTCATTCCTCTCGACCAAGTCATCGCTTGGACACCTCTGCTCTTCTTCCATCCGCAACCCCGGAGTGCAAACAACATACGTCGCGTGAGTCGCTGGGTTGGCATGCGCACAACATGGCCGAGCCATCGGAGCCCGGTACGCGCCATAACAGTGCTGAGCGGTTCTGTTCCTTTTCCTGTGCCGTAAACAAGGCGTTGAACATGCTCATTACTCACGCGGTGTTCCCACCAGATATGAGTCACACTGCGAAGACACCAATGGTCGAACGTAACTAGCTTCTTTATGTTGGCTGAGCTAATGGGCCAGGTTTCACAGCCGTACGGCTGCATTGTAAACTTCCCCCTTCAGGGCGAGAGCGGTATCGCGCCGGTGCCATGGGCGGCCGAAGTTAGCGAAAGCGCCTCGAGCTTTTGCTATACGGCGCTGATACAACTACCCAGGTAGTTGAACTTTGGAATGACTTTTAGCTAATCCCCACGAAGGGTCAGCACAGGAGGCAGTCCTTACCAATCTTGGAGGAAGGCTTTGCACTTCGAGGGTGTAAAGCATAGCCCGAAACGGGTGACAGCAAATGCTAATCTGTCCAGTGCTGCTTGGCATGTTTGGGAGCTGTCACAGATGAGGGAAATATCGTCAGCATACTCCAAGTCACGAAGTCGTTCACCTGGGAGCAACTCCACACCTAAGTCGTGTTCTGCGAACGTGCTCTTCATGACTTCATCAATAGCGAAGTTGAAGAGGAAAGGTGACAACGGGCATCCTTGTGTTTCGCTGCCGGAGATGATGTGCGGCGACAGTTTGTCCTAAGCTTTCACTCTGCCCGAGCTACGGGCGTAATGCGCTTGCATAATATTTACATACTTTTCGGGTACATCTTTCCCTAGCAGTTTTTCCCGGATGGTACGTCGATCCACCGGATTGAAGGCGCCTTTGATGCCGAGGAACATGACAACAGCTACTCAAATGAGATAATTGATGAGGCGATATACTAAACATTGCTAGGCGCGGTTTTCGCACCTGACCGACTGGTTTTGCAGACTTTAGAGATTCCTTTTCCTCACACCGAATTCTCTCTGGGATTGTACGGTACTATGACACACGGGAAAGCTTGCAGAACCTCCATACTTATAACCACCTATTCGCTATCTTTTTTGTTGTGCGTTACCGCATACTTCTGCTTGTTCAGACAGCTTTCGGCATACTTCCTAGTGGCGTCACATAGTTTTGCTTCCTACACCCATTTTCATCCGTTAGCGAGCATAAATAAATAAATAATTTACTATCGACTACGCGAGGCACGCCTGCAGAGGTATGATCATGGTAAGCGTACAACGAGTGATCGTGCAATGTACAAAAGTATAGTTGGATTGTCATATCTGTGGATACTTGTATGTATGTGAGTTTAGTTGCATGTCCTGATGCTTTTTTATCTCATATTAATGTCAACCTGAACTTAATTCCACAAATTTACGCAGTCCCTTAAACTCCCTTAGTTAACTTCGATAACATTTTCGCGTGTGTGGCATTTCCCTTAAATATTCTGACGTTTTGTACCTAGAGCGGATATTTTGGCAACAATTTTATTTTATCTGCTCATTTAGCGACGAGCTGTCACCGTATCTGTATGCATTATTCGATTTATTTTATCTGATATCGTTGTTTCAAGTGATTGGCTGTTGCTTACTATCCCCGGTGTGGATGCGCTTGCTGTGCTACCTGTCTATTGCCCACTACCTCTTCCATACTGGCTCCAGGAGACAGTTGATCGTTGTTGAAAGGGACGGGGTGCATGGTCCTTGTGGCCGTGCTAGGCTCGAGGAATGGTTCCATGCACTCAGTGTGGAGTGGACCACGGTCCAGTCACCGCCTTGTGTGCACTTGTTTCCCTAAATACAGCGTGCTTGTGTTTGCCTGTGAAGAAGTGTGGGCCGGCTCCGTTGATGAAACGTGGCTCCCATCCGCATGCCTCCAGGTCTTATTCCTTTGGGTTTACACTGGATATGGGGTGTGTGGATGGAGCTGTGGGTGGTGCAATGCAATCCACTTTTGTTCCTTCTGTAGGCGCTGGTGTCGTGTGGTCACAGTGACAGGCAAATCCGAAAGCGGATGCCGCCACTCTGTAGCTGCATGTGTATGTAGCTGTGTTGCTTGGGTTGATGAATGTGTTGCTGCATTTTGACTGTGTTTGATCCCGTTCTCACCGTCGGAAGGGATGCTTGACGTCTGTGGATTGGATACGGTTGTCCTGATAATCAAGGACAGTGACTAGTTGGTGGCTGGTCACAATCACCACATCACTGTTATTACACAGTCATTCGTGGCTTTTTATAGGGTGATCTTTTGCCAAGCAAAAACCCACCATGTCCTGAAACGTTTCCGCCGAACTATTTGCTGGAACAGGGTAAAACGAAGCACCCAGCTGGCACCACAGGGAGGTTGTTCGCCTAGACAGTTGACCTTCCAATGGTGCTATCAGGGTACCTGTGTTAATTTCTTGTTCGTGTTTGCTGAGAGCTTTATTCTGTTTTCTACAGCGTCCGCTGCTCTTCTGAATTTTACTCCATTCTACTTGGAAATACACTCATCTCCTACAGGTTTACCTCGACTGGAGTCAAAGTCGATGATCCTAGTAAAACACAGACACGTTCACAGGAATAATTGTACGAACACAGTGTGATTACGCCTAAACTTGCTGTACTTGATAGTCCGTTTTATGAGCCTCGTTTTCTGAAGCGTATGTACCGTCTTCCTTTTCACAATGGGTACGGCAAATAGGTCAAGGCAATATCTGGACCTCTTGTACTTTCGAAATTTTCGTCGGAGCTCTAAATGATGCTATTAATTTAACCTGTTTTCTGGTTAAAATGGTGATTTCTCCTCAGAAATTTTCTTTCGCTCTCAGTGACGCGTAAATTTTATAGATAACCTCTACAATCTTCCGTATCGTGCTCCATTCTGGGATCCCGGTACTTGCGGTGAACCTGCGATCCCTTGTAGACTTGCTGGATGGAGGCCATTTAGCATGAATTTGCTCTATTTATTCGGCCCGTATAGATAGAGTGACCACCGTGTCCCTTTTAGTTTGCCGCCAAAACAATAATTCATCATTGTTCTATACGAAAGAAACTCATTTGTTGAAGTAGATGCGTATATATTATTCGTTTGCCCGCTTGAATACAAGCGAATATATCATCAGACCCTTAATAGAAATTGAAGGAGACGCTTTTGTTCCACAAAGAGATCGGTATCATAAAGAAGAGCATTTCTTTTTGATGCTGCGCACAATCTGTTATGTTTTTTGCTCAAAATCAAATATAAGAGGAACGGTAGAATAGCATTGGTGCCACGGACTTGTGGTACAAATTATATCAGTCAAAACCTAGAACTTTTGAGAATCGGCGTCACGCGGTCCCCACCTTGGGTAACGAGCACATCTAACTGATGTTTGTCATGAGGTAACTTTCTCCATGTTCCTTTTACACTTCATTGGTTGTACGCCACCACGCTTTCCATTTGCGTTCATAAGGCACGAACGGTTCGCGACGAAGAAGTTGAGGGACTGGCGTGCGCCGTACGTGGCCAAGTCAACACAGGCGGTCTTGCGAAATAATGCCCTGGGGTTAGTGACTGATCACTCTGAGTACTCGACTTCTAACTTTCATACTACCTACATGGTATTGGCATCACACCCGTTCGATCTTTCGCAAGCCACGGTTGTCAAAAACAGTCGTTTCTGAGAAAACAAGTCACGGCTCGTAGCCGTACAACAGGACTACGCGGATGGAATGATTCTACATCCTTAAATTTGAGGCCATCGGGACTGCGCCACAAGTATCTTTGGTCGATGAATGCAAGGCGAGCTTTGGTAATTCCTTGTACAGCTTCCTCCCCAACACCGCCACCAGCCGTGATGCAACTCACGAACTAAGTAAAGCAATCCCCTTGTAATCTGAGGGCGCGGGTTCGAGCCTGCGTAAGGATCGGGTTACTGTCGCGGTATCACTAGCCCACGTGCTACTGGTGGTGTTTGCGCGGCAACGAAGCGTCGGTGCTGCATACCGGCGTACTGCTGATGTCCTTTTTATCGCTGTGCTGCACATTGTTACCTGCAGTGATGGGCACTGACACAGACAAAGTTTTACTCGGGGGTTGGGACATATCCATGGACGGTTCAAAACGTGTT